TCTTTTTTTTTTTTTTTTTTTTTTTGGTACCAGGATCAAACTCGGGTCCTTGCACTTGTGAGGCAGGCGCTGGAACCACTGAGCTAAATCTCCATTCAGGCTTTCAAACAATGCAAAAGACACTCTACAGAGCTATCTGGGGACAAAAGGAGAATAAACTTTAAGGCAGTCCTGCCTTAAAACACAGCATGCTGCCACCCCTCTCAATTTGCATGGGACTGGAAGTGAACACCAGAGAAGAATGAAGGGGCCAGGAGCCCAGGCTGTTGTTTTAACTTTATCCCCCACAGGTCATGACCTGAGAAGATAAAGGAGGAAAAGAGACAAGAACAGCTGGCTAGAGAGTCTCTCTCAAAGGTCACTCTGAGGAGCACTCAGAGAAAAACATGCTGAGATAAACCGTGAAGGCCCCAGTGCTGAGGGTGGACATTGTGCTGAAAAGGAATGAGCCAGGGAAGCTCAGGAGACATACAGGAAGGCGAGTGAAAGTGGCATTCGAGAAGTCAGGTCAAGAGCCTGGTGTGTGTGTGGAGCACAGCCAGTAAAACTGGCTGCTTCTAAGGCACAGCAGGTGAGCATTATCCCATGAGTACAGTAGAGCCCCTCACCGGCTGTCTTGCAGGAACACCACGATTTCAGTTACCCTCTGCCAACATGGTCCCAAAATATTAAGTAGAAAATTCCAGAAATAAATCATTTGTAAGTTTTAAACAATGTACTTCTCTGACCGTCAAGTGGCTCAACACTACAGGCTGTCCTGCTCTATCCCCCAGGGTATGAATTATTCCTTCACCAGTGTATCCATACTGTTCGTACATGGATACCAATACAGATGCAGATACAGATATATAGACATAATACAGATACAGAGAAAAATAAAATGCCCATCAACTGGTGAATGGACAAACAAAATGTCTACCCACACAATGAAATATTACTCAAGGAGAAAAAAGGGAATGAAGTGCAGATGCCCTAAACAATGTGGAGGAGCCTTGAGAACAGCATACTAAGTGAAAGCACTCAGTCACAAAAGACCACCTGCTCTCCAACTCCATTCACAGGAGCTGTCCAGATTGAGCCAATATCCAGAGCAACATGACTACAGGGACCATGAGGAGGTGTCCTAGTCATTTATCTCATCACTGAGACTCAACACCCAATACCCACAACCTAAAGGAGGGGAGGTTTATTTTGGTTCAGTCTGTAGAAGTTTCAGTCCATAGCTGTTTGGCTCCAAGGCAGAAGACAGCTGCACACAGCATGGCAGACAGGAAGCAATCTCTCTCTCCCCGCACCCGACCCCAGCCCCTCCCTCTGCATTTACTGTGTGGCATGTCATGAACAACACTAAGTGATGTGCATGAGTCTTTTGGGGACCAGGAGCAGAATGTTGTGGTTGATATCTATATATTCCCCCCAAATCGTCATTCACTCATACATGGGGCTTTTGAGGTAACTGTGGCATGGGAGTTTATAGCTAACATGCTATAAATCTGGTCCAAAGAGACTGGACACTGGGGGCTCGGCCCGGAAGGGCATAGCTCCCTCCCTTGCTCCTCCCCTCTCTCTGCTTCCTGTTGTACCAGAACTCTCCTCTGAGATAGCCCTCCTCTGCCATGAGCCTCTGTCATGCTGCCTTGGAGACAGCTGACTATGGACAGAAGCCTCAATAAATTGTGAGCCAAAATAAATCTCTTCTCCTTTAAGTTATGGGTGTTGGATATTGTGTCTCACTGACAAGAAAGTAACTATGACAAGAAAGAAGTGGATATCAACTAACAGGTTTCTCTAGGAGTGATGAAAACATGCTAGAATTAGACAGTATCAGCTGCACAACTATGAATTTACTAAACACTACTGAACCACACACCTTTTTTTTGTTTTTTGAGACAAGGTCTTGCTATGCAGCCCAGGCTGGCCTCCAATATTCCTGCCTCAGCCTCCTGAGTGCTAGGTTTACAGGCATGCACCATGTCTGGCTACTACATACTTTAAAGGGGTAAATTTTATGGTATTTGAATTATATCTTAAACACACTTTTTAAAAAAATCTATCCATTAGCAGTTTCATTAAATATCCACAACAGTATGAAGTAGTTATTTTACAGGTAAAATAAACAGAGACTCAACAAAGACAAACTAGTGAGCAATGGGGCCAGGATTTGAATGCAGATAATCTGTCAAACCCAAAGCCCTCATTCCTGTTCACTCTGAGGGTCACACTGATTCCAAGGGAGAAGGACAAGGAAGTAGGTTTCAGTGGACACAAGAAAGGACAATGTATCACCGCAGTGCCTTCCTCTCGCTGCAGTTCTGAAGACACTCATGAGGGCTGGCAAGGTCCTGCCTTCATAGGAGGGCTGGTATACCTCATGACCGCTCAATTACCTTCCAGCTGCGTACTACTATATTCTCTCTTAAATCTCAGCACACCCAAGTCTTTTCCAACTTCTACACTGCTTCCTTAAGCTACTCTTAGTTCTACACACTTAATAAATTAGGGTTCACCTGTCCAAAATAGCCTCAAAGGTGCTGTGATGCGTTGCAATCCGTCAACAGAGGAACCATGGAAGCCGGTGCAACTGGCTATGTACTCACCGTGAAGTTCATCTCCTTGACAGGGAGAGTCAGGTGCTCAAATCCCACAGTTACTGTGTACTGAGTATAGTTCAAGTAGCCAAGGTGAGCCACAATGATTTCTGCACATTTCTGCAAACACAAACAAGACCGAGGACTTTAAAGCAGTAAGGAGAACTCTCCCACCAACTGACCCATAAGTAACACATTTCAACAACAGATGAGGCCGTATCTTCTCCAGGAATTCAACAAAAACCCAGAAAAAGCGAGATGCCAGCCAGGAATAGTTCCTAGAAAGAAACTGTCAGGTGAATATTTGTGGAAACAAAACATATGATTTATAACAATTAGAATCATCCTATACTGGAAGACTGAAAATGGCATCACTTGCATTAAAACGTTAACTATGCACCAATACAAACCTGAAGTTTCTATAAACACACTGTGCACAAGGGCCCCACAAAGTATGACGCAGTAGATAAAATGTTGCAGCCTCACTTGTCCTCTTGCAATACTGTGACCATATTCTGCTTTCCCTTTCAGCTCATCATCCCTTACACAGACCCCTTTCTCCTTCCCCTTCCCCACAAGCAAAAGCTGTGTGAGCAGTCATGAGAGGATAATGATAATGTGCAGACTATATGTTCTGCCCAGAGGTCTTCTTAGGAATTAGGATCAGTGTTCTCTTCCTGCTCTTTGGCTGTCCCCTACAGAAGTGAAGGAGGACAGGCTCTTGCTCCAAGATGCAGATGTGCATTACACGCACGGGCCAGGGTCTGCCCCAGCCCTGCCCCATAGCCAGCACACCTTTGAACGTGGCTCCTTCCTCTCTCCATGTCACAGGATAATCCAACCACTGCTGAGAACTTCTGTGCCTTTCCAGCTGACACTGTAACTGCCCTGGCTCTGAATAGGGCAGTCAGCCCTGTCTTAGGCTTCCCAAACCCAGAATGTCTAAGGTCAGGACAAGAAAATGGACTTGAGTTTTATACAAGAAGCCTTAAAAAGATGATAGGGCAACCAGTAGAGAAGAGAGAGAGGCCTCACAGGTAATGCTTACCCAAGAGACAGGCATGAAAGCCAAAAGTGAGTGTGCAAGGCCCAGAGGAAGTGTGAAGGCCAAAAATCTCAAAACTCTTGGGCAAACTGGCAACCACAGACCTGTGCCACAGCCCGCCACACTCAGCTAGGCAGGAAAGGATGCCGTGGAAGACAGGGCTACCTGGATAACCAACCACTTGGCCCCTTCCCATTTTCCCACATCTCTGCTACTCTGTATCTCATCTGAGCTGTGGTTTTCTTTCCACCTAAGTAGTTTTTCTCATTTGAATTGGCTTCCTGAACTCTGGGCATGGGCATGTGTTTCTGCATTCCCAGAAAAACTAAATTCACCTTTCCTTCCCAATAGTCACAGGTGCAAGACCAGGGGCAGACAGCCTCAACATCAGCAAACATATTTCTGCTAGACAGAGAAGCACTTCCTGTAAGAACATGCCTCAGCTTTCAGGGGATGTTTTAATTAACAAAAAGTTACTGCTTGGGTTGAATATAATTTCACACTCAAAAAACCCTTATGAATCCCCCTCAGATTTGTGGGTCCCAAGTTCAAGCCATGGTTCTGAGGTGGGCTGCAACACCTGGTGACAGGAACTCAGCTTTCTCCCCTGCAAGGTGTAGACAACCTTACTACCTCAAGACTAACAATGTTTTCTCTTCACATAAAAAACAACATTCAAACAGAGTGGTAAATATCTCTGTAACATAAAGATTCCATGTTCTCTTAAGTCAGGATAATGGTCCTTGCAGGGTTAGGGAGAGATGAGCAGACAAATATTCCCAGGGGGCAATATAGTGCAAACTGAGGCAGGACTACCAACTGGAGCAGGAGGAAACCACAGAAATGTCAATGAGTAACAACCCAGCCAGCACCCACAGGTGCCCTGACTCTCCCTGAAGCCCCGGCAGTACACCCTAGTTTTAAAACAGGAAGTCCCACGTGCTGAGAAACCCCTCAATCAAGACAATCTGTCACACCAGCCACAGCTACAGCACTCAAGAGCTGTTCATTCTGTGCCACATGCAGACTAAGGTGGGATCTGACCCATTCTTTCCTGAGGAAAAGAGAAGGCCAGGCCAGCTGCTGGGACAGTTGTCCTTCACACATGCCACACAGGTAGGTGGGGTGCACAGATGTCTCCCACAGGTACAAACATCATCCAATGCACAAGTGAGTCACCTTGATCCTCACACCTCTCCAAATGGGGAGGTGGAGCTTAAGCCCCACTTTACAGGAGAGGATAGTACTCTCTAGAAGCTGGCTCACACCACCCAACACAGGTCACAGGAAGGAGGCAGAACAACAGGCCAGCTATTCCTGGCCTTCCCCAAACACCATCTCGACCATGACGGAACTATGGCTGCTGAGGTCAGGGAAGCCACCACTGTCACAGCTCTGCTGGAGAGGCCTACACTGTCAGCCTGGTTAGCCTTTCCAACAGCCCTACACCCTCCAGCCAGTGCAGAGAGAGGGAGCAGAGAAGGAGGCTGGGCCGTGTGCAGAGGTCCATCTCTTACTTGACAGGACAAACAGGCTAGTATCTTTACGACACAGGATGCATCATGTGGCCATGAGCTCCAGAATAAAAGAGCACAGCCTCAGATCCAGTGCCTCCGTTTACTAGCTGTTTCACCTTGAACAATGGCTTTGACCTCTCAAAGCCTGTTTCTTCTTGTATAAAATGGACTGCAATAATAGTCACTCCTCCCTGTACCTCCTGTAAGGATTAATGAGTATCCTATGGAAAATCCTCAGCATGACACCTCACACAGACTAGGTATTCACTGTCTCCAACATCCATGTCTGGTCCTCTAATCACGCACTGCCTGTGTGATGCTCTCCAAGTTCCTTGTGCTTGCCTGCTGAGTCCCGATGTGGCCTCTTTGCTGTTGCAGCAATTGAATTCTGAGTCATTAGATTCTGAACCAAACGTGGTACCAATGAATTAGAAAATAAGGGTTCATTTCCTACTCTGGATCCTCAGGTTTTCTGTTGCTTAGCCACACCCTGCACCCTGAAGTAGATGCCAAAAAAGGAGGCCACTGACTCTAAGAGGCCTGGGCACTCTGCCTCCCCAGATGGATCAGGACATTCAACGCCTGATGCAAACAAGCCCAAAGCCCCCTCTCCAATGGTCCAATGGTGGGGAGTGACCACAAAATGGAGCACATCTCATCTGAAAGGCAGCCTTTCCATGGACATATCAGGCGGTGAGTTACACGAGGAATAAAAAAAGTATGGAGTACACTCAGGGTGTGTGGCAGGGCAAGTGTGCATAAATGCATGTGTGTGTCTGGGCAAGTATATGTGCACACGTGTTCAATATAGTAAGAACCTCTAAGGGCAACAGTGTATAAAATTAGGTGAGTCTTCTGTGTTGTCTTTGCCATGACTCAATTTTTCTTTCTTAAGAACATTTTGAAGCTTCTGAATGGGTTCTGCCTTCAACTCTGCAGAAGCAGGTCTGTATTGGTGTACACAGCCATGGAATCATCAAATACACTCACCCCCGCACATGTGAGGGTCCTTGTCCGATTGTGAATCTTGTTATGAATGTACATCATAGTTCCATCTTGAGCCACGCCATTGACTTTAACAGTCATGGGAAAGCTTGTCTGAATGGAAGTTTCTACAAAAGAAAGAAATTCAGTATCATCATTCAGGCCCAAACACGACAAAGGTGCCTGCCAGGCTCTGCCATGTCATCGGGGCCAGAACACACAGGTGCCCAGGAGCATTCTGAGGCCGCATTACCCTCTGCTATTTGAAAACCATATTTTCCAGGCAAAGGAAGCCCTTCCATTAGACATTCTACTCCCAATTTATAAGTGAGAGGGCCTGGGCCAAAACCACCATTTCAGAGCTATAACTCATTTCATAAGGGTGAATACTTCATGGCTAATGAAATTACAGTACATTCTTAATTTCCCACAGAAATCTTTTATTTTACTTATGCCAAAACATTTTTATTTTTCTGATTATACCTTATTTTTCAAATTATATTCTATATAACATTCACAATAGCATCAATAAAATTTAAATATGTAGGAATTAACCTACAGAAGTGGAAGATCTCTACAGTGAAAATTACATCACTTTGAAAAAGATCAAAGAGGACATCAGAAAATAGAAGATATCCTATGTTCCTGGATAGGCAGAACCACTACAGTCAAAACAAATAATTTTAAAACTCATATATAGATTTAACACAATCACAATCAAAATACCAACAGCATTTCCCACAGATCTTGAGAAAAAAATTCTAAAATTCACATGAAACCAGAAGAGACCCAGAAAACCAAAAGCAATCCTGGGTAATAAAAGCAAAGCAGAAGCATCACAATCCCAGATCTAAAGTTACGCTACAAAGCTACAGTGATAAAAACAGCATGGTACTGGCACAAAAACAGACATGTGGATCAACAGACTGGAATGGACGATGCAGAAACAACTCAGCACATTCAGCTATTTAATCTTCGACAAAGGGGCCTGAAACAAACACTGGAGGAAAGATGGCCTGTTTAATAAATGGTGCTGGGAAAACTGGATGTCCACATGCAAAAAGTTGAGTCCAGACTATTTCTCAACATGTAAGAAATCAAAATAAAAGTGCATCAAAGATCTAAATGTCAGAATAAAAACAAACACTGGAAGATAAAACAGGTAAGTAAACTCTTACAGGCATGGGTGTAGGCAAAGATATTCTGGACAGAAGCCCAGTGGCACAAAAAACAATACTTAGAGTCAACAAATGGGTACATATTAAATTTAAAAACTTCTGCACAGCAAAGGAAACAACCAACACAGTAAAGGGACAAAAGAGTGGGGAAAAAATGTTGCTAGCTATTACTCAGGCTGAGGACTAAAATCTAAAGAACTCAAAAAAATTACACCCATCAAAATAAAAGACCAGATTGAAAAATAAGCAACCAAAGAACAGACACTTCTCAGAAGTACAAATGGCCAATAAATACATGAAGAAATGTTCAACATTGCTGGTTATTAGATAAATGCAAATTAAAACAACACTGAGATTCCATCTTACTTTAGAAAGTATGGTATCAAGAAATTAAATAATAACAAATTCAGGCAAAGCTGTGGGAAGAAAAAGGGCTCTTCTATATGGTTGGTGGAGATGTAAACTAGTACAACCACTGTGGATATTAGCATGGACAAGCCACAAAAACTAAAATAGAAATCCCATTTAACCCATGTGTGTGCACACGTGCTCAGCTGCTGTTCACCTTCTATTTATCCTCCTAAAAGAATTAAAGTTATCATATTACAGTGATCCATGCACATCCATGTGTATAGCAGCACAATTCATAATAGCTAAATCTTGGAAATGGCCTACACACCCATCAATAGATGAATGGATAAAGGAAATGTGATACTTATACACAATGGAGTAGTACTCTGCCATACAGAATGATAAACTTGAGGCATATGTAGGTAAATGGATGCATCTTGAAACCGTAATGTTAAGAGAAATAAATCAGACACATGAGCTTAAATATTGCTTGGTTTCTCTTATATGAGAAACCCAAAATATAAATAAAGAGCAAAATAAAGGAGAGATAATAGGAAATAGGTAGATCTTTTTCAATAGGGAACAGGAACAAGAGATGAAAGGAAGGGGAAGGAAAGGGAGGAAAAGGAGATAGAAAAAACAAAACAGAATTGAAGCCAAAAAAGAAACAAATAGAGCTTTTGCAAAATGAAAGAGGACCAAGAGTTGGAAAGAGTGGGGAGGGAAAGGAAGAGTAGGGAACAAAAAAAATTAAGAAATATTATGTATGCTGCCAGCTGCCTCATAAGAGCAAGGTCCCGAGTTCAATTCCCGGTTTATATATATATATATTTTTTTTTTTTTTAATTACATTACATGTGCCAATTCTCCAAGATGAATGTAATCATTATATACTGCAAACATGTATTAATACAATCTTTAAAATAGTAATTATATTCTCATAAAAAAATTAGAGAACAAAAAATATAAAAATGGCACTAAGCATTTACAATTCTACCACCTAGATATAACTGTAACAATATTTTTGTGTATACCCTTGTAGGCCATTTTCTAAACTCACAAATACATAATGACAAAAATTTATTTCTGCGATTTAAAATATTACCAAAAAGAGATACTTTTTTGGAATATGCATTGTTTCTACTTCATTTACTATAATCATAAGGTTATCCTTTTAAATTCTTTCTAAGTCAGTACACCTCACAGAAAATAACTGGCTGGCCACCTTCTCAGTTCTCCCAAAGACGATGCAAAACTAGCACCATTTTAGTGAGTGTCATTTTAGCAACACATCATAAATACTGGATGCCTTAGGTCAGGTTTCTCAACCCTGGCACTAGTGACATCCGGGGCTAGATAATTCCCTGCTGTAGGCATCTGTGCTGTGCACAGCAAAATGTTTAGTGGCATCCTTGGCTTCTGCCCATCAGTTGCCAGTAATACTCTTTCTTCCCCAGCTATGACCACGAAATTGTATGCAGACACCGCCAAGTGTCCCTGGGGCGCAGAATCATTACCTCAGGCATTGGGACTTAATTCCCTCCCAGATGGTCACTGAGCAGGCTGTCTGGTGGTCTACAGAGATGTGTCATAACTATATCTCCTACTGGGAGACATTTAAGGGACTCTAACATGTAGCTGTTATAAATAATAATGAATATCATTATATACTTATCTTTCAGTACTCATCCAAATACCTCAAAGTCCTTTCAACCTCTTAAATACAAGCTTAAGCAGGGTGGGATGTCAGACACCTGTAATCCCAGCACTCTAGGAGGCTGAGGTAGGAAGATTACAAATTCAAATCCAGTCTGGGCATTGCAGCAAGTCTTTGTCTCAAATAAAAATAAATAAATAAATAAATAGTCTGGGGATGTAGCTCAGTGCGAAGGCATTGGTTTCAATTTCCAGTACTACACAATACACACACACACACACAGAATCTGTACTAGAAGAATCACCCCCAAATGTCAGGCCACATACCTTCTGATTGCTCCAATTCGACAACACATGTCAGCCATAGTTGCTGATTATACGTAGACAGCGGATTTGAACGTATTTGGATTGGCTTTAGCTGAAAAGAAAAGTAATCCATGTGACCTTTTCATTGAATCTAGCAATCTTAACCTACAAAATTTACATTTAGCAAAAAAGCAGGAGCATTAGCTCTGAAACAAAAACATAGTTTCCATTTGACAATGTAGCAAAATGCTGCGTTCCAGAAGGACCAACTAACTCCCAGCTGCTATTAATTTCTGTCTCATCAAAACCTGAAAGCAGGTGGTTTCTACCACCTGGAGCCTTGACACAATATGCCTACTCAAAGACCAAGAAAAAGGCAAAATAAAATGGAGAAAAAAATGAAAAGAGCAGAATGAGAGACACATAATAACAAAAGACACCAAAGGAATGCTTTTATATTCACAAGATAAAGTGTCTCAATAATGATTTCTTTACTGTCAATAGGCCAGACATGTCACTGTTTTAAGTCTATTATTTTTAGCTTTACTAAAGTTTCAGTGTCCCGAAGAGAAGAATTAGAGAAGGCAGTGTTGACAGTTATTTTTCTGCAGTATCCTTTGAAACACTTCCTACTGGTCTCTGGAGGCAAGTCAGTTCATGACACTGCTGCTATGCTCAGGGTCAAAGAGAAGCTTACACCCTGAGAGAAAGAAATTATAGAAGACCAACTACTGTACAGGAACTCTGTGGTGGCCACTCTCCAAATCAAACCATCTGCTCAAGAGTTAAAGAAATTAAAGGAATGCAAAGAAAATGTGAAGACAGGCTAAACAGAGGGCTTTTTCAAACCAGCAGTAGCAAAAAGAAGATTCAAAAGCTTTAAGTTTCAGGACTTTTTACTTTGCCTTTTCAAAACAAATGTAAAGACATACCTAGCAGAGGTTGCAGAACAGAGAGAGGGAGGGGATTTAGGGTCAAATAATGAGATTTAAACTATACATATTATGGCACCATAAAAGTGCAGGACAACTGTATCCAGTTTATAGATAAGAATTACATTTGACATAGAAAAATAAAAGGGTTAGTTGTTGGGGCTCTCTCAAATTAATATTTATTGAGGAAAATCTAAATTCTCCAACTCTGTTTTTCTCTTAAAATGTTAAAGAATCAAGGCACATTTTTGTTTTTTTTTTTTTTCAAGGCGCATTTTTAAGGGGCATTAGGAAGATTCATTTAAACTGAGTTCATGCAAAGAATACCAAATAATCCTTAAAGAGAACTGTTACTGATGAGAAAATGTCACAGAACAGGACCTGAGTTGGATAAATGTGATAAGAAAGGTGCAGATACCTAAGTAATCATTGTTAAAACTTATAAACTAACAGTATTTAGAGACATGAAGAATCTGGATGAGTTAATCATCCTTTGGAAGTAATTACTGTTCCCTAAGGGGTAACACACCCATATGTCCCAAGTACTTGGGTATTACAGCAGAAAAGGTAATTTTAGCAAAAAAGAACCCAGATGCCAGTAGCTGACAGTGAATAAAAAATATGCATACAGGCCTTAATGTGTGGCTCAGAGATAAAGCACTTGTCTAGCATGCACAAGACCCTAGGTTCAATCCCCAGCACCAAAAACGGAATGGGGTATTGCTTGAGACACAAGTCACAGGCAAAGGCAGTCTATCCTCAAGACCCTTGAAGCAGGACCATTTCCTAGTGACCTGAAATTTATAATGTCCCACCAACTCCCATCGTATGCCCAGCCTTACCTTTTTGCTATTATTAAGTGAAAAATTTGCTGCAGAAGTCTGGATCACTTTGGGTCCTAAAGTGTAAAAAAGAAGAGAAGGAAAAAAAGCAGTTATGTCTATATCATAATTTATTGATTTTAATTTTCAAATGCCAAGGAAGACTCATACATTATGCAGACGTGGTCTTACTTGCCTGGTCATTCTTTAGAGACCGCATAAATATAGGTAAAACACGCACAGACACAGAATAGCCACTGTACTGTGCACCACGACTGCACTGCCTGGTCAAGGTGGTCTGGGATTTCCACATTGGACTCTCTCTAGTGCTCTCAATGAGGGCTCTCCCTTTAGTGCATGGCCCCAAGAGAGTATTTACTGCACAGATATCCACTACATAGTTTGTGAAGTATAAAGAATTGTTCTAAACAATTACACATTTATGTATTTATCTAATAATCCAGTCTTCCAAAAACATTTTATTAAATAATGGAATATAACAAAGCACAATGTATCCTAATATAAGCATCTAAGAATAACTTTTTTTCCTGATTGAAGTAACACATATAGAAGATTCACAAATTTTTTTCCCAATTTTATTTATCATGGTAAAATATAACAATAAAACTACCCTTTTTTTTTTTTAAAGACAAGATCTTGCTTTGTAGTTCAGGCTGGCCTTTAACTATGTATCCCAGATGGACCCTGAACTCACGGTGACCCTCCTGCCTCAGCCTCCTTTAAGTGCTGGGATTAAAGGAGTGTGATACCACACCCAGCCCATTTTAACAAATTTTAAGTGTACAATTCAGAAGTATTAAGTGCATTCATAGTGTGCAACGGTCACCACTGTCCATCTCCATAATTCGCTTCATCTTGTAAAACGAAAACTCTATTCCTGTTAAAATAGTAACTCCTTATGTGACCTCCCCTTCGCTCCTTGCAATTACCATCATACTTTCTATGATTTGGACTTCTCAGCATAGTTCATGTAAATAGAATCACACAGCATTTGTCTTTTTGTGACTGGCTTATATCACTTTGTATAATGTCCTCAAGATTCATTCACTTTGTAGCATGTATATAAATTTCCTTATGAAGGCTTAATAATATTCCATTTTGCCTATCCATTCATCTGTCAGTGGATAGTTAAACTGATTTTTTTAAAGTATTGTCAATAATGCTGCTGTGAGCATGAGTGTACAAGACCCTACCTTCAATTCTTTTGAATGCATACCTAGAAGTAGAACTGTAGAGCCATTTGGTGCTACTCGCAAAGAATATTCTTTTCTACCACTTCACTGCAACTTATCTGTGTCTTTGGATCTGAAGTAAATTTTTCTGTGAAGAAAATGTACTCTAGATCATGTTTTTTAAAATCCATTCTGATTTCTGACTGCAAAGTTTGATCCTTTACATTTAAAGTAAGTAGAGATTAGGAAGGGCTTATTCTGTCACTTTGTTTTCTGTATGCCTTGGTTTATATGCATTTGTGTTCTACATGCCTCATACCTTTTCTGTTCCTTATTTAACATCTAAAAGTATAACATTCTAATTTGAATTTACACTGGCTTTATATCAGTAACATCCAAAAACTGCTCCTTGCTGAGACTAGAGGTTCCATTTGACCCAGGCATCCCTCTGCTGGCTATCTTTCCAAAACAATTAAAAGAATCATATCACAGAGAAGTATGTGCACCCATGTTTATAGCAGCACAGTTTGTAATAGCTAAAACTTGGAAACAGCCCATCTGCCCAAGAGTTGAAAACTGGTTAAAGAAGATGTGGTTTTTCTATAAAGTGGAATATTACTCAGCCATAAAGAATGAGAAATTAGATTCATTCATAGGAAAATGGATACATATTGAGGATACACTCCTAAGTGAAACAAATAAATCACTCATGTCAATACTGAATAGTTTCTCTGGTGTGAATAAACTATAATAGTACATAAGATCCTAATGATATAATAGACTATGTGAAATAGGAAGAAAGGGGCTAAAGGTGTAGGGAAAGTGGGAAGGGTAGGGGAACGCTAACAGGGAAAAGAAAAAAATATGAGAAAATGAAAAAATAGAAATGAAGTGTTTGTAAAGGGGGAGGGGAGGAGGGGTGATGGGAGGGCAGGGACAAGGGGAAAAAATGAGAACCAAGACCTGTCATGTAAAGGTACAAGTTCCCAGTAATGAATGTATACCTAAAATGTACCAATAAACTCAATGAGGAAAAACAAACCTGCTCATTTAACAGCTCTGTCACCATATCTTTCAACTGTTAATGTCACACTGTGATGACTTATGTGTAAATACATTTATATAAAAAACATAAAATAATTTTACTGTATTAATCTCTTAAATTATGTAAAATATATACAAATCAAAAATAATATTAATACTTAGGGTTTTTTAATAGAGTGTTAGTCTGTTAAATCATGTAGGAAACAAATAATTGAACACTATTGTTAGGATAACATGAGCTTTTATAATTATCCAGTTACCTTCACTGAAATTATTGGGTTTCAAATCACTGCCTAGTGTCTCAGATCTCCCTTTTAGCAATCATATAGGGCAGGTGCAGTGGTAACTCCCTCAACTTTAGTTTATCTGGGAAAGTCTTAGTTTCTCTCTTTTTTTTTTCAGTACTGGGGATTGAATTTAGGACCTTGCACTGGGCAAGGCAGGTGTGGCGCCACTGAGCTAAATCCCCTGCCCTCTCCATCACTTTTAAAGGACAGTTTCCTCAGAGATAGGACTCTTGACTGGCCACTCTTTGAGCGGTCCGGATATAACAGACCACTGCCTTCTGGCCTCCAGTTTCTCAAGAGGTTTCTACTAATAGCCATACTGAACAGCTCTTGTATGTGATGAGTCAGTCACTCTTGCTATTTTCAGGATCCTTTTTGTTTTGGCTTCATATAGTTAGATTACAATGTATCTAAATGTGGGACCCTCGGAGTTCAACTCACTTTGAGCTTGATGAGCTTGTTGGATGTTTATATTCTCATCTTTCATCAAATTTGGGGATTTTCATCTATAATTTCTTCAAATATTCTCTGCCCTTTTCCCTCTCTTCTCCTTCTGAGAGTCCAACAATGTATATGTTGGTCCACTTGATGATGTCTCAAAGGCCCTTCAGCTCTGTCTTCAGCTATTTTACCTTTCAACTCCAGAATTTCTTTTTGTGTTTTTTTTAAGGTTTTTTTAACGCTTTGTTTTTTTTTTTAATCATGTCTATGCATTGTTTTCCTGAGTTTGTCCACATCTTCCTTCAGTTGTTTCAGCATCATTAAGACAGTTGTCTTAGTCTTTGTCTAACAGATCTGCCATGTACCTTAGGGATTCTAGTGTTTTGGTTTGGTTTGGTTTGGTTTGCTGTGTGATTTGCTGTGCTGTTGTTGCTGAAAACTGGACACTTAGATCTAAAAAATGTGGCATTCCTAAAAATCAGATTCTCCCCCTGCCCCAAGGTTTTCTGCTTGGTGGATATGAGGTATAAATTTAATGTCTTCTCAGGTCCCTCCTGAACCTCTGTCTTTCTTTGGACAGATGTAGCACCTTCCTAATTTCTCCTGCACATGTAACTGTTTTTGAATCTCTTAGTTTTTAACATCGCTGCTGAGGCAGGAGTGCGAGAGGTAATAAATGAAGGAATGAAGGAGACTGGGAGAGAACCACTAGCTCTTTAAATTCCTTGGAAATCACTTTCAGGCTTGTAACATTGAAGGGTGGGGACGACAACAAATGCCCAACCTTGTTCTATCTCTGATCAGAAGCAGCGATTAATGATCAGGGCACAGATCCTCAGTGGTAGGAAAACGGTCATTTCTGCCCACACTGGCTCCCACAAGTTCTATATAGGTGGGAGACAGGTACCTGCTACTGTATTAAAAGCTACATTGTCTGAAACAAACCATAATTTAAAACCCAAACCCTCCCCTGGAAATTACAAGACTTTAATAGACTCCAGAGTTCCAAAATAGTTACATTCATTCTGACTCTATTGTCTAGGTGGGCAGTCAGATTCCTTCCAACTCCATTATTCTCCCAGAATCCTCCCTATGATTAACAGATTAGTATTATTCTCATAATTCCTCAGAGCTTTGGCCTTTAAAGTAGTACTAAAGGGAAACAACTGTTAATCTGACGTTAAAGTATAACTGGATTTGTTCTAAAGCATATCTTTCTTAAATTGTGATGCCAATTCTGTGGACTACCTCAGTGGCCACCCCAGCCTACAACCAACAATCTTCCATCTGAACACAAGGTGTATGGCATGTGAACCCCAAGCAGCACTGTGACATGTCTCTGGAAAGCACTCGGGAACACTGAGAAGATGTCTCCATGTAGGAAAGAGGCCTGTACCCACAATGAGATTTTTTAAACAGTTTCACAATCTGAAGACTCCTAACCCAGTAAGTAAGGCAGCCTGGCTCCCTGGAAAGAAGTAAGAAATGGCAATCAGAACTTGGACCCTATCGTAGCTAACTAGGCTTTCTGCATCTCATTATCCTTAAGCAAAATGAAGGTGACTAATCCAATGGTCTCTAAAGTACTCTTGACTCTAATATAATAACAACCTTGCCATATAAAGCATTAGGAAGAGAGTACTTGTGATAAGTGTCTACATGACTGGGCCACAGGGGGCCTTGCTTTAAGTTTAACATCATTCTGTCTGTGAGGAATTTCCCTATGAATTCCATATGCCAACTGAATAAGGAAAATGTCTGTCCAAGTGTACGTGGGCCTCATCAAATTTGCTGAAGTCCTAATCAGAACAAAAAGGTCAGGAGAGTGTTTTTTCCCTCTGCTTGGGTCCTGTCTTCGAGCTGGAACATCAGTCTTCTCCTGCTTTTGGACTCAGATTTGACTGGGACTTACACCATCAGCTATCCTGGTTCTCAGGCCTTCAGACTCAACTGTACTGTACCACCTGCACTCTGGGCTCTCCAGCTTGCTGACTCTGACCCTGGGACTTCTCAGCCTCTGTATATGTGAGCCAGTCCTTACAACAGAGGGAGACAGAGACAGAGACATTCCCCTGAGAACCCACAATATTCTGTGAGATGAAGGAAAGTGATGCGGAAGCCCTGACATTTTTACTGTATCAGCCTTAGAGTAAGTGGAGAACGCTGGATATAATCAGGGATATCTGAGATAACATGGCTTAAGGAAACGAAAGCTGAGGTCCCTCTGAGAGTGGAGACCTAACCTACCAATCTGAAAGTGAGTAAGATAATGTTACGCTCTGATTCAGTCTTTACACTTTGGTCACAATAGGAAGGAAAAGAGAAGGTGGCTGCTGCTGCTGCTGTTGTTATTGCCACCATCATCATCTCAGCTTCACTGTCACCATTACCATGAAGTAAGTGACCAAAAATGGCCACTCTCTCCCCTCAGCCTCCCAGACCCTGCACCAACCCAAATTTCAGTTTAGGTAAGAAAACAGCCTTTTGAAGCACAGGTGTTTGTGAGACAGGTTAAGTCTCAATGTCATTCACACCTTGGTGTTCACTGCATCAATCAAATAAGCAGCTACCAGAAATCATGCTCAATGAATAAAGGTAAAATTTTACTTAAAATGAAAAGAGAGAAGAATGCCACTGTGGGGTAGGCCTATAATTTCAGCTACTTGGAAGGAAGGCTGAGGCAAGATAATCATAAGTTCAAAGCAAGAACTTGGCTCAAAATAAAAAAGGACTGGGGATAGAACTCAGTGAGACAGTGTTCCTGGGTTCCTGGATTCGAGCCTCAGTACAACAGGGAGGGGAGAGAAAAGAAGGAAAAGGTGGGGGGAGAGGAAGGGAGGGTGGGAGAAAAGGAGAGGAGAGAGAGAAAGAGGAGTGAGAGAGAAAGAGAGGAGGAGGAAGGGGAGGGGAGGAAAGAAAGAAAGAGAGGGAGGGAGGGAGGCAGGCAAGGCAAGGCAGGAGGGAGGGAGGTGGAGAGAGAGAGAGTGAGAGAGAGAGAGAGAAAGTAGGTAGGTAGGTAGGTAGGTAGGTATAGATACTCTCCAACATGTGTCAGGCTCCTGTTGCCCACCCTCTGGACGGGACTGAGACCCAGGTTTCTGGGAACCTTGTAAAACCAGAAAGCCACTTGGGTCTGTGATTCTGTGTTTCTGTCTGTGGGGAAGGAGGGTGGCCAACCTAAAGCATTGCAAAGGCATGTTTGAGCCAAAATCATCATGGTACATACAGCTCTTCCCTTCATACAACCTGCCATGAAGCAGCAATGTGCCCTAAAGGCAAGGGTGAAGGCACATCTGCAGGCTTCCAGCTGGAACCACCATGCTGCTGCCCAGCCATCTTCATGGGGCCCTGCCAGGGGGTCAGGATACCACCAGAACACCCTCCTGGCCCCTTGCTCCACCTGTACCCCATGCCCATAGCTATTACCCTCAGTTTTATTCACTGCATCAAGACTTCAGTGCAGTCTACCTATCCATCAGGGAGTAGATTCTGGATTCCACAGGGCACAACAGACTAGAAATGTTTGCTTGGCCAATAAAAAGTTGGAGACCAAGGCTGCCGTGCTGCCAAGCAGGTGCGGCCTCTGGTTGCTGGGCAGGACAAGGCCAGGGATACTGGGCCTGCTCACTGAGGTGAAGGGGCCCCATCTGCCCAGTGGCTCAGGTAGAAGGGCTCATCTCCCTCCACACTGGACCACAGGGGAAACAAGGAGGCATGTGGGGCTGGCTGAGAAGCAACACACCCAAGGGGCTATGAATAATAAAATGATAAGTGCTTAAAAACTGAACTTACCTCTGATCCCAACGAAGACAGTCAGGCCAAAACAGATGAAGAAGACCACGAATACAAGGACAAAGTGGCGCTTGGAGAGCGTGTAGAGCCTCATGGGCGCCAGCCTGGGGAGTGGAAGCCAGGGGGTGAAGGAGACACACAGGGTCCACAGAAGAACATCTTCACAACCCCCACACTCCCTGCCCAGGCCTCACCTCCCCACCCTAAGCCCTCATCTCAAAAGTGGACCCACTTCAAAACCAGCTGACCTACTATGACAAAACAGTCTCAAGGACCCAGGTATCAGAGCCACATGAGCCAGGCTCTGAGGAGAGCCGCGTCCCTCACATGAGACTTTCCCTTGGCAGGGCCCGTCTTGGTGAAAAACAGCCTGGCCGCCCAAGCCTACTTTTGATACCCAGCAAGTATGGCCACCAAGGAAACCCATTCAGAGGAGGAAGTCTAAGAAACTTAGTCAGAAGAAAATGCAGGGGTGTGGGTAGGAATCACTCCTCTCTCAGAACCCCGTGTATAAGGGCAAGCAAACAAAAATTTGTAGAGGGCAGATGACAAATGCCTGTGGCTTGTGCATTATAGGTGCCTGGCTCTGCCTTCCAAAGTAGCCAAAGGCCCAACATAAAAAACATGATCATGTCTGTGCTCCTATTAACTTCATTTATGGAAAGAGATGCAGGCGGGGCTTGACTGACTAGCTCCTACCCTGAACTCAAAGGGGTGGTAGCTTCCACACCAAGTAACTGAGCCCGGCTGTGGCCTTCCTTTCTTGTCTGTGTGCTACAGTTCCATAGCTCTCTGGCTGGGACTGAGAGCAGCAGAAAGACTTGATTCTTGCAATCAGAGACAGGCGTGGCCTGAAACCCAGGGAAAGGTTGCTGACTCTTATGTATACGTACACACTCTCCCTTACACACCCAAGACTCAGGTGCTGGGCAGGAAGCCAGCCACCAGGACCGTCTGAGGGCAAAGGTGAAGCCCAGGAGCCACTGTGGCTCTGACGTGGCCCTGCTGAAACCAAAGGACCATTGTGAGCAGCCAGTGCACGCACACACTGCCCAACAGACTTCCAGACCAGTGTCAATGGGCTCATTGGATGATGGGCCCAGGGAAGGCTCGAAGGTTTCTCTGGGACCTGAGTCCAAACACTGACCCACAAGTGACCCTTCCTAGCATGAGAAGAGAAGCTAGTGCTATAGGTGGCCTCATCCCAACTTGGAATGGGCACTGAGGGCTCCTGGTATTAGAGCTAGAAATGTCCTCCAGGACAAAGCCCAATCAATCCTCTCAATTCACAAAAAAGGAAAACGAGGTATGGAGACAACAGAGCTGCTCAAGGTGTCACAGGTCTGGCCCTTGGCAGCATCTGTCACTCTCCTGGAGGGGGCTCTGGGAAACAGGACTGAGCTCTGCTAATATCCTTTTGGGAAGCCCCGTGGAACCAGCATGTCCTGTGTCCCTTCTTGTAACCCAGGTGTCAAGTCTATTACTCAGCTCTTTGCACAGTGTGTTTAATACACAGAGTGTTTTGTTTTGTTTTTTTGAGACAGGGTCTCACTGTGTAGTTGAGACTGACCTAGAACTCACTATGTAGCCCAGGCTGGTCTCGAACTCACAGTGATCCTCCTGCCTCAGCCTCCTGAGTGCTGGGATTACAGGCGTGCACCACCATGCCCGGCCAGAGTGTTTCATTTATTAATTTATTCATTTGTTTGTTTTATTTGGTACCAGGGATCGAACTCGGGTCCTTGTGCTTGCAAGGTAGGCGGTGGAACCACTGAGCTAAATCCCCGGCCCCAGAGTGTTTTAATAGGCAAGATTTCTAGGCAACTGCACAGGGTATTTTGATATTGAAAAACACACAAAACTAAAATAACTGGATGGTGGGGAAATGCAAATGGAGTTTAGTAAATAGTATGGCACTGATGCTGACATGATGCTGTTTTTAATCAATGCTGACATCAGGGGAAGCTGGGGAAAGGAGTACAGTGCTACTCTTCTGTGAATCTAAAATTGCTGGGAGAAATTACACAGAGGCACTCATGAGCTTTGCCATTATACCACCCTTGGGGGAATCTGACCCTGTACTCATTCAACTGTCCCAGGACTGAGCAACAGCCCCCAAGCAGAGGCCAAAAGGAAAGATTTGGAAGCAGAGAAAAGCAGAGTAAGAATCACTAAAAACTTTGATTTCTAAAGCACATTATTGACACCCTAAAAGCACAGCTACTTGGCAGATGGGAAGGAAGGCTGAAGAGACATTAAGAAAGGGCACTGCAGCACAGGCAAATGTGGCACTGTACAGACCAACCAGGCTATGTCACCTTGCCCTGCGGAAGCCTCAATGGAACCCTCCCTTTCCCTTCCTTAAAACTTCCACTGAGACTCAATTTATAAGAAAATCATTGGTACGGCAACTCAAAGGAAAAAAGACCCAGAGAAAGCAAACTGATCCCTCAGCTTAAAAAATGAAACCCACAGGGTTTTGCTGGCTGGAAAGGATGGGCAAGAGGCCCTGCTTCCTGCAGTCTTTATGTCCTGACAAACAGCAAACTTTTCAGGGAGGCTGGGCCCATAACCCCCAGTCCATGGGAGTACCTCAGGTCAGATGACATCCAGACAGAATGGCACTGTGGGGCAACACCTTCCCCTCTTTGGTCCTGTCTGCTCCCAGCTTCCTATCTAAGAGCTTTGAACCAGATGGGTATGGTGGCTGATGCTTGTAATCCCAGCACTCTTGGAGGCTGAGGAAGAAGAATCACAACTTTTTGATCCCAGCCTGGGTAACTTCATGACTTCGTGGGACCCTGACTCAAAATTAAAAAATAAAAGTACAGGGAGAACCTGGGGATGTAGCTCAGTGTGAAGGCCCTGAGTTCAATTCCCAGTATCACAATGAATGAATGAAGGAGTGAATGAATGCTGTGAACCAAAAACTGAGCAACTTCTGACTTTGATTAACCTGTTTCAGATATAAGTTGAAAATTGTTGCTCAGACTCAAAACAACACTTTGAGATACCAGAGTAAAGACAGCTGGGTCAAATGGAACCTCTAGTTTCAGTGTTTTGAGGAATTTCCATACCGACTGCCACCCTGGCTGCACCAATTTACACTCCCACCAAGAGTGAGGAAGGGGTCCTCTTTCCCCACAGCCTCACCAGCATTTGTTATTGGTTGATTTCTTGATGACAGCCCTTCTTGGGAGTGACACAGAATCTCAGTGTTGTTTTAATTTGCATTTCTTGGAAGACTTTTTTGAGCACTTTTTCATGTATCTGTTCTACTTCATCTGAGAAGTGTCTATTCATCTCAGATGCCCATTTTTGGACTGCGTCTTTAAATTTGAGGATCTGATTTTGAGTTATGTCTATATATGAGTCTATATATTAGTCTTTTGCCTTAGGTATAGCTGGTAAACATTTTTTTCCTGAATTAAAAGCATCATATAACAGCAATTTATGCATATCCATGTTTATAGCAGCACAATTTGTAATAGCTAATCTCAGAAACATCCCAGATGCCCATCATCAGAGGATAAAGAAAATGTGGTTTTCACACTAAGGAATAAGGGTTAAGAGTAGAATCCCTGGTACAATCCATGGGAGTAGAATTCAAATTAAGCAAGAAGAGAAACAAGAACTAAAGGTGAAAGAGAAAGTTCAGTTTACAGTTGGGGCAAATAAAGGAAGCATATCTCAAAAAAAAAAAAAA